TACATGTTCGTATATGGCGATACATACCTCATACTAATAATATCATAATAATACGGTGTTTTATGGCAAAATAAAATTGTTAAGTATCTAATTAAATAATTTTACTGTTCACGAGGAGAATAATATGGGGGCATTAAAAAAATGTAAAGTTTTGAAAGCCTTGGGGACTCTCCCTCGGAACCACGCCTGGAGTTTAAACGCTATTCGCTACTATCGATTAGGTAATTTATCGTAATCGGACTATTCGGTAGATTGAAAACTATTCGTTTATGAAAAAGACTATTCGCATACCTATTATAATTTTAATTCGATTATGGGAAAAACTATCGGGTAGTTTTTATTTGGCTACGTGAAAAAATATTCGATTAGTTTTCAAAATATTCGATCGTTTTTACGAATAAAAGTACTCAGTCACGGATAGAAAAAATATATTCGAATGAAATATTCGATAGCTCATATAAACAATCGAAAACTATCGGTAACATTTCAATTACAGTGCCCTCATGGGCGGTCACACATTTGAACCCGCGGTAGGATTAATACGATAGCTTTTCTCAATTCTTACAGCATTCAGCGCGTCCCCCTTTCTTTTAAAATCCAAGCACTGAAAATAAATCCGTAGTAATTGGTATACTATTAAAACTCACCGCAGTTTAAACATCACAAATATACATCCACATTCGGCTAAAAAGAAAACAAACCTAAAATCGTTCGTTCACTAAAAATAACGGCAAATATATACTGTACCTGTAAATTTACACAACGAACATATTATACAATTATTTATGTGAAGGTATAATATAATTTATAATGAAAAAAAAAAAAAAATGTAGATTTTTAAACGTTAATAAATTTTTATATTTTTTTTTTATTATATTCATTTGATAAATTGAATACAATATAATTTGAACACATAAAAAAAACTGTGTGTGCTCGCATAATATTATATTTTTTAATAACGCGACGAGTATTTTGCATAAATTTATTTTTTTTTTTCCGGTCGTTTATATTTTGTGCTAGATAAGCGCTGAGTGCATTCCATTCTACAGCGCGTTGTATAAAATGGTGAGGTTGTCGCCCAGTGAAGTATATAGAAAATATTTTTCGAGGGTGGGGCTGTAATGGGCTATGGTTTTAAAGAGTTAGGAGCAAGACGTGCCTAATAAATCAAAATTTTATCGTATGACAAAATAAGTTAAACGAAAAATATTGATGATCCCCCACCTTAGTAGCATCGGTGCCAAGACGTTGGTGGCGTGATCTTTTGGAATTTAGCCTGAACAGTATTCAGTATTTTCACTGTCCTGTACTCTATAACTTGATACCTCCATCGTAGGGTCCTATCACTAGATAGCTTCCCTACTCCTAGTTCTAAATATTTTCTCCTTTATCTTGATCATATTTACTTAATGTATTCGTTGTACACATTGTAAATCTATATTGTAAATTCAGAGCGCAGGGACGAATGTATTATTTTACAATGATGTTTATTTTATTTTTTTTATGCCGTGTACAAACATTTTACCAGAAATCTTGCTCCAATTTTCAAGTGTAGCACTTTGTCATTTTTTGATTTTCCCAGGGGTTTAAATAATAAATGGGAAAACCGAGAAAAAACGGGAAAATTTACGAAAATAATGCTTTTATTATTTTTAATTTTATTTTTGTTGTAATTCAGTTTAAAATGTTCATAAAGATTTGACATTTGGTCAGAAACCTTATATTTGCCTGTTATAGAATTAATAAAATTTACTAATAAAATTAGTAATAATTTAGCAATAAAATTTTTTAAAAAAATTGAGGAATTTTAGATATTAAATATTACAGATATTTTAATTTTGCGAGTTTTTACGTAATATTTATTCGGTAGGTACTTTGTGGATACAATTTTTAAACCAAATAAAAATACTTGAAAAATTAACAGTAGGTTCATTATAAGTTCTTCTTAGAAGTCAACAAAGAAAAGTTTTAGGTAAAATAGTATTAGATTTTTTATACAAATTTGTAAATCAAATTTTGACAATAATTGTAAATATGACGGCTTTTTAAAATATGTATATCCGAAATCCACTCAGAATTGTTTTTCGTTATCAATGTTTAATCGTTGCATACAAAAATACATTAAATGCCTCTCTATATCCTACTATCCTACCTTTTCAACTTCTCACCTACAAGAGTGGCTGAGTGGCTGAGTTGGAAAGAATTCCAGTAATTATATTAATTAGATAAGGTAAACAAAGTGAGACAATATATTATAACCAATAATATTGATAACCAATGACTGCAATAATAATAAAAAATAAAGTACCTACACAAAATAGGTAGAACGTAATAAAATGCAATTTTAACTGATCACTGCCCACTGGAGAATTGTTGCGTTTGTCGGAACCTTTTGAAAACAGTATAATTTCAGAATAGTATAGTATTCCGTCGATTATTTATTGTTTTCCAAGCAATATTCATATACTATTCAAATATACAGGGGAAGGTTTTTTTTTAGCCCGGCGACTAGGTGCGATGAATCTACAAACGTGCGGTGAACAGAATCAATCAATGCATTGCATGCATTACTGATAATATTTTCCTCAAATAAAACCTACTCGTAATTGTATAGTTTAGTAGAAATGTTTCTCGATCTTTATTCAAAGAGTCCGTGAGAATAATATAGTTTTAATATAAACGTTATTTTGAGCCAAAAACCACGCAGCCACTGTACCCCATAATCGAACCTTTTTTGCGTCACCGATATTACAAAAACAGTGATGCGAGAATGTTTCATTAATATTTTTTTTTTATATAGATGTGTGCAAACGACAGTCAACCGTAACGCGCGACGTGTCCAATTTACAGTTATTTAAAAAAAAAAATCGGTATTTGTTTTATATACGATTTTAGTTTCTGAGCGATTCGAAGAATGTACTGATTTTACTATGTAGTTATTTTTTTTTTGTATTTTTGTACACGAATTTTCCACCAGAAATCTTATTTTAATCAAAAAATTCATAAGAATTTTCTTGTGAAATTTTCAATATAAAGTTGGTTCATTGAGCAGGTAATTTTTTGATCATCTTTGTAGTTTTCATAAATATTGGAAAACAAATAATTTTTTGTATAGTTATTATTGATTTCTAGATTACAATAATAACAAAGGAAAAATACGATTGATACTCTACTCAGAATCGCTTTTTTTTTTGTTAGCAATGGTTGATCATTGTTACGTACAGATATAAATTAAATTACTTTATACGTCCTGCCTTCCAACTCCCTTCCTAAAACGATGGTAAGTGTACACCCATATTTGTTTTTAATGTACCATTAAGTTCCCGGAAAATCTACTTAAAAAAAAAAAATCTAAAAACGAAATTGCGAATAAAAAAAAAACGATAAATCGAGAACTTTTTGAATTTATTACCTGGAAAGAGCTGAAGTCCAGATTGATTTTTTAAATCAATTATACGGACAGTAAGTCCGAGGCCGATCCATCACTACAGTCTACGACGAGCAACGTGAATTTATAGTAACTACGTTTTTCTTTTTTTCGTGTTTTTTTTTTTTTTTATCGTTGCAGGCTCGTATTTTATATCGAAAATCACATTAGCTGAGAAACCACGAATACACATAGATCACGTATAATGCTGCGCTGTTTAAATTTATGGCCAATCGTATATAAGTATAGGAGTACATTATATTATTATTATTCAATTTCCCACGCAGCACAGCTGTTTGATAAATCATTAAATATTTTCGTTTTCATTGTTTCATATTCAAATTAGATTTTACTTGCAACCCTCCCGCTTCCTCAAAGGTTAGTTTTTTGAAAACAAAATAAATAAATTAGCGGTGTTGTGAAATTATTATTTAATATACTCTTAGAGCTAATACGAAATTAAACGGAGTTACTCTGATATCATGATGGAATTGGTCTCTCGATATTTGCCGCGATGTCTAGAATGATCCACTTCGAATAATTGTTGCCAGTATTTTTTTATTTTTACAGAATATTATAGAAAAACCAACTAGTTTTTTCATTCAACTTCCACATTAAATCCATTAAATCCGTTTCTTCAGTTTCTCTGATTTTTATAAGACCCCACATACGACATTCCATTCTTCTCTACATATCCATTGCTTTTTTCTTTCTAGTCTAGATCTCGATTCTGTAATTACACATCCTTTTCGTCTAATTTTCATCAAAAATAGAGACTTTAACTCTTTATTTTGTCTTATATATCTTTTATCCCGCTATTTTTGGCCATTTCTAGCGGCTACTTCTAAACAAAGAACTATAGTTGTTATATAAGCGAATTGAAGTAATAAAAGTTAAGTTGAACATCAGTATGAATTTAATCATATTGTTATTGATGCGGGAGAAGGGCGTCTTCTTAACTTTGTATACCTCTACAGACTCATGCTTATATTATGTATACGTGGGTTTCAACTTTAAACTCTCGCTCTTATCATTTTTATGATCAAATTCATCATATTTTTGTAAGTAGTATAATTCACTTGCCACAATAAAAACTTGGATTGGTCTCGACGGAAGTTTCGGCTCGTATGCATATAAATAAATAATTTGTTTGTATGTGTCTCGTATGGTATGCGCACTGTACGAAAAATATACCAATAATACGCTTCAATTGACAATTTGATAAGTGTACGTTTTTGGCTACCGATCGCGGGCGCTGACGTAAACGCGTACTTCGGTATTTGAAATTACCTACGCGAGTGCAGTTCTGGTCGTTAAACCGCGTGTGTCCGCGGACGTGCACGGCGGTGGTTATTGCCGTTTGATAGAAAATGATAAAGAAAAAAATAAAAAAACTTTCGAATTTACACAAAACAAATCTCGTCCAACGGAATTCACGGCGGCGGTCGCGCCTTGGCCGGAATCGCCGATGCTACGGCGGCGGCGACCGGAGCGCTCTGGCGGCGGCGGTGGTGGCGGTGGTGGCGGCGGTGGCGGCGATGGTGCCGGCGCGACGGCGGCGGCCACGGTGGAGGAGGAAGGTCGCGCGACACGAAGGCGGCGCGTGCGACAGGACGGCCACACGGCGGCGTTCAACAGTCGTCAGTCCGTCAGTCGTAGTCAATCGTACGTCACGTCTCGCGTACGTCGACCATTCCGAACACGGTTCGCCACGTTTTTCAAAATTTGAAAAAACCCGCCGATACATTCGACTCTTGACTCGCTTTCGACCCCGAGCCGTTTCCCGCCGTAGACGTCATCATGGTAAAGTCGTCCTGCAGCTGGTTGACCGCGTCCGTGGTATGCGCCGTGATCGCGCTGGTCGCCGCCGACCAACCGCAACCGTCCGGCCAGGTGGAAACGTTGGCCAACGGTCTGAAAATCGAATACGTGTACACGTTGGACGGATGCGAACCGAAGTCCAAGGCCAACGACATGCTCACCATGCACTACACCGGCAAACTGTTGGACGGCACCAAATTCGATTCCAGGTAAGCGCGGGTCAAAAGCAACGATCACGAATATTATAATGATACCCGGTAATAATAATAATAATAATAAATAGCGCATTGTCGTCGGAGTCCCGGTAAGAATGGGTTTTTTTTTTTTTTTTTCGTAAAACTTTCGCCTACCGGACGGCCGAGGGACGGCAGTAAGTTTATAGCGGAGCCGGCGGTTTCGCAAAAAGTTTCCCCCCCCAACCTAATCCTGCAACACGTGTTGGGCGTATATTTTATTATAATATGAAAAAAAAAAAACGTAATAAAAAACCCCAAGGGCCAACCACCGGTGTTCGATTGGAAAATAATGTAAGTGGCAATAAACGCGTAAATATTAGAGACGCGCGGGTACACGCCACTTAGAAACGGTCATATTTTCGAAACCCTACCTACAACACCGGCGCGGTGACCGTGCGGACGAGGAACGAAAATCGTTTTTCCGCCGCGGCTTTCATGGCCGCGCGTTAAATTTCGCAAACGTCCGTTTTTGCCGTCGCGGCCGTTCCTTCCACGTGTACGGTTCCGACGTCACACGGCAATTGTATAATACGTTATGTACAGGTTTCCCACAATAATCGCGTTTCGTCACGCCGCAGATTAGATTAGAAACAAAGAAAACAACCAAACAAAACAAACATAGATTGCCGCCGCGGTAACCGGCGCATTATAGTACGCGCAACCGGTAGCCGGGACCGTTATCGGGCCGCGTCGCGTTTTTGAATATTCCACTCGTATCGAGAACGCGGACGCGGAACGTTCGGATATCAATAATAATGATAATGATAATAAATAATAATGATAATAAATAATGCACAAATGCATTATGTACGATACATTTGCGTATTATTGCTGTTATTATTGTAACGTATCGCGCGCGGTTGATTTATACGAGTCGCGAGACATCCGCGAGGGATGAGATGTACTCATATTGCACGGGACCGCCGTCCCCAGCCACCGACCGTTTGAATTATAGATACGTATATAGGTAACCCCCTCCCCCCCCTCAATCTTTCCCGTCATATTCATTATTTACCGTAATCACACGTGAATATAAAGTGTATACCAAATATTATTATTATTATTATTACGTAGAGTGCGCCTCGGTGTACGACAGTGCAGTTTTTTTTTTTTATGGTTTTCGATATCGTTTTGGGTTTTTTTTTTTTTATAGATTTTTAGCACAGCAAAAATCGTAATACTCGCCTAAATATACCTACACTGGTTTTACTATGATGTTTACGATTTTTTTTTTTCTGTCTTTAAACGACTTTTCTACTACCAGAAACCCTTGCTCCATTCGAAAACGACAGCATAGTATTTTGGAAACTAGTTGGGGAGATGATTTTTACGTTTGGTTCTTCTCGCAATTTGTTTAATAATTTGTGAAAACTGACAAATTCACGGCGACTCCAACGATTCTGTTTTTCTATACTAGAAACGTAATTTCAAGTGTAGCATCTTTCCTGAAAAAAAATGTACAGGTAATGTTTAGAAAATTAAATGCGAGGTTCGTTATAAATTTTACTTAGTGATAAAAATACAAAGTTTAGCGTAATGTAGTAGTTTATTTTGTTTTATAAGCGTTTATTTTGAGTTCAAATGTGTACAAAAATCCCAAAAATCACGGTTTTTGAAACATGGAGATATAACCAAAAACACTTCGCTCAAAATCGTAGTTCGTCAGCAATAATTTATCGTCGCGTACAAATATAAATTAAATAGTTCCGTGTGTTCTACATTCAGAACTTATTCCCATTAAAAACATTGGCACACCCATCAGCAGTATCAACTCTTTTTTCTTGTTGTCATTCGGTTAAAAACAACATCGTAGAAACCGAAAATTGTCACCAACTACAAAAATTCGAAAGGTAAATTACAAACGGAAATCAGTGTACAAGTACAAATGTTTGGTAATCATTGGTTAAAATCATCATGTACTGAAATATGATGCACACAATACTCATCGGTGATTTATATTCTGTTTATATTGGTCAGTTTTAGACTTTTGTGCGGCGGTTTTTTTTTTTTTAGTTTATATTCTGCTTTATGTGATACTTCGTCAGCGGCAACAGAGGAAAAAAAAATAAAAAATTTACAAATTTAAAATAATTAATTCGATTATTATTAATTTGAAAAAAAATTATTAACATTTATTCGCAGGCCTAATTAATTCAATCGCGGACAAATAAAATTGTTATAGAAGACTAACATTTTAACAGCTGTCGTCAATGTGTGCTCGGGTACAAAATATTTCACGATTTTTTTTTCTCCTAAACGGTCGGTAAACTATTCCAAACCGGTTTTTCAGTCGGACAACGGGTTTTTTTTTTTTTTTATGTACATCAACTCTCGATATAATACTCGAAAAAAAAAATTCAAAAATAGGTAGTAACACATCTCTTAATACGAAATGTAATTTTTGGTTACCTAATTTTAACGATTTTAATGCAGTTTGTTGGCCTAAACGCGTTTATTTTTTTTCCCATTACATAAATTCACGGAATCGTTTTTAAATATTGCAAAGCAACCGTCGTAGTAGATGTTACATACGCGAAATGACGAAAATGCGCATATTACTTTCGATTTATGTAATAGGTATCATTATTATTATTTTTTATTTGATATAATCCAGCGATAGGTTACATGGATATGCTCAGTGTTAAAGACGAATTTTAAAATATCTAGATAATTATAAGAGATAATTGAATAGTTATTCAAATGAAGATAAGAATAAAGAACAGAATTTTTTGAACTCGTTAAAAAAAAAAAAAAAAAAACGTATAATTTTGTTCATGATCTATCATAAAACTAAGTACCTGCTAAAAGTGTATCATATTTGGTACATAATATCTAGGTATCAAAACGATTGTGTAGTTGATGTTATTTTATAATAATAGTTTATTTAGCCAAACATACCTATAGTACCTATATATTTAATATAAATTAAACATTTTATCTGTTATTTATAATAATTCTTTAAATTACGATTTAAAAACAGACTTATCGAGATAAATTTATCAAGATGATTCAATTATTTATCTTGGGCAACTCATTTCTCATTTATCTAGATAATTTAAAAACTTGTCTATATAGATAAAATCCAACACTGCCTATGTATTATGACTTACCGTTAATAATATAATATGTTTACCTCTACAAAAACCGATATTTTATACGGTGCGTTCACGCTAAGAGGTAAATACCACTAAATATTTCAGTTGGCTGACCTACTATTGAAATGGAATTTTCGAGATATTTTCATTCAAATTTTAAAACATTTGAAAATGTGTATTTAGGTACTCCTTATCATTCGCCAAAAATTCTATTTCAATACTAGGTCATCCAACTGAAATATTTAATGGTGAAATATTCAGTGGTGGAACGCACTGTATACGTAATATGGATTAAGTGATAATTATTATTAAAGATAGAGGGAAAAATAATCTCGTTAATTTTGAATAGGTTTTCTACCTGTCTGCACGCTCAGCCAGCAGCATACAAGTAGGCGGCGTGGACCTCAATATCTCGAAACACCTCGGTAAACTGTAAATTAATAGCTTTCTCTGCCCTTCTCCCCCATATAATTCCGGTCACGCATCGTCGCCATCCTTTTTATCGTGGTCCCAAAAGACGTCGCTGGTTCGTATTATCTAACTAGTTTTAATATCGTCATTGAACGCGCGAGGGGTTTCAGACGATTTGACGATCAAAATATGTCTGATTAAAAAGGAAAAGAAAACACGTATCCGTGCGTGCAGGCAGTAATAAAAGAAAAAAAAAAAGAAAAATGCTGATACTACTGATGGGTGTGCCATTGTTTTAGGAAGAGAGTTGAAATGGAGAATGTTAAGAGTAGGTAATTTAATTTTTATATACACGCGACGATAAACGATTCTGAGCAAAATATTATTGGTCGTATTTTTTCCCATGTTGACAAGAGATATCTACAAGGAAAACCAAAAAATGACCGCCTCAACGCACCTGCAATTCGATCGAATATGCTACAAGAAAGTCCCTAAAAAATGTTTGATTGGAACAAAGCTCCCGGTAGAAAAGTTGTTTCCACGTACAAAAAAATCACATTAAAACCACACACTCCTCGCTTCGTTCAAAATCATTAAAACATAACATTTCAACATGACGTTGTTTGTAAAATCGTAATTTTCAAACCTCGTCGTGCTGCAGTCTGTACAGTCTATATAATACTATGCAGAAGTTGATTTTTTAAAGTTTCCGATACAAGTAATAAATATCTAAAACCAGTCGGTGGCTGCGCCGGGTAACGTCTGCTGTATAATATGTATACGTATACAACAATGTACCTCAGATTTCGGTTTGAAATGTTTGTTCGCGACTTTATCTGCGGTTCAACTTCGAGACACGTAAATATAGTGCAAAGCCGTATACCGAACCCTTTGATGTACTACGTTGCGCAGCTATCGTTGCATAGATAACTATACACATATATTAAATTATATTCAAATAAGAGAGGAGATTTCTGTGGATTTCGAAGTTAAACAATAGGTACAACATTATAACTATATGTTCATTTTTGTATCGAAAACGGTTGCATTTCCGTTCAATTTAAACCGTATATAATACGTGGAACGCCGACGAACAACGGATACAAGAGTCGAACGTAACCGTCCACTCTATAGATTATAGTCGTTTTCTTGTTAAAAACTAAATATTAACAACTGCCGAACACCGATAACAATACGATGTAACTGTGCAACAGAATACACTCAAAATAATGACAAAACAAATTACGGGTCGGGGGGGGGGGGAAAGGGCACAAAAGGCACGCGCTTATCGACACTAACGCCGTGGAAAATTTCATCGCCCGACTCGATTCAGGCCGGCGTCTGCAGACTAGACGCCCGCCTCTTGGCGAAAACATCACGACGAAATTCGAGCTCGAATTTAATCGCTTCAATCCGCCTTTAATAACAACGATATAAAGTCCCGGGGTTCCCCTCCCCCTCCTGCCGTTTCAAAGTCGATATTAAACACGGATACGGAATAATATAACACTACAGCACACCTCTGTAATAATAATAATATATTATGTGTACGTTATATTATGCGTATCCACGGGTAATTGACAGACAAGCGCGTTACGTTTTAACAACACAATACGGCACGGGCGAGACGACGGTTATAATACAATATTGATAATAAATCATTTGCTCTGCGAACGGCGAATAATTTATGTCGAAGCAGCGGAGTTAATCGGTCAGAAACTTTGTTGAAGATCTAAAAGCTTCGATAATGAAAACTGTCACCGCGGGTTTACCGCGGCGGCGCCGTCGGCGGGTATATTATCCGCCGGGTATATTATGTAGGCGAGCGTAAGAACGGCAAAAGCGAAATATCGCAGCGCGCGAAATTTCAAACTCTAAAATATCGTATACGAGAAAAGCCTTTTAGCGGGCGACAGTGTTGGCGACGACGGCGGTGTGCTGCAGGTGCCGCGGCGGGCGGAAGGGAAGACCGGCCGTGTGCGAAACGGCACGCGTGGCACATAAACGGCGATATATTTTAAATGTAAATATACGAAATAATAACAACGACGAGGTAATAATAATATTTGAAAATATGTTCACTTTCGAACGGAGGAGACTCGATTAATCACAATAAACGCTCGCCGATATTATTATTAAGTTCCTATATACCGCGCGCGCGCGCGTGTGTGTGTGTGTGTGTGTGTGTGTGTGTGCGCGCGTATGGGTTTTGTAATTTTTTTTTCGCCCTCCTACGAAAAAGAAAAACGCTTTTTTTCTTCTATCTTTTTTTTTTTTTCTACTGAGCTTAAGATCCGACCGAAAACCGCCGTACATATATACGTTATACGAAAGCCGGTGTAAATCATTTGTCACTACGTGCGTATACCGCACGTAGGTTCACAGAGCGCCACGTGAAATGGGGAATAGTCTTATACGGTAGGTAGGTAGGTAGGTAATGTTAAAAAATAAAAATAAAAAAACCGTCTTGGTAATCGGTTCTCATTTTCATCGGGAAATGTATAGCGCTGCGGTAGCTACAACGCGAAACCAAAAGTGATAAATGACCGCGTATATTTCGTGATAACTAAATATCAACTATAAAACGTATATAAGACTTGACGTATAACTCCTTTTCTACGACACGGATATTTATGATATTATCATTATGCGACAATTTACTGATAATAAATTATGGTTTTTTTGGGGGGACCGATGATATATAATGTTATATCGACCAGTATAGTCGTTCGAGTACAATCGCAAGAGACAGCGTCCTGCAAATTCTGCAGATAGACATTTCAAGTAGAGCGGATTGCGATAGAATTTACGAATCTATTAGACATAGAAAAACGTCTGTAAAAGTGAGGTCGCGATACAATAAAATATAGACCGATAGTGTGTGTGTGTGTGTGTATTCGCACATACAGACGACGCCGTGGTAATCAATATCGCTCTCATTTCACTGGGCATAGTAAATATCTTATACGTAATGCTAGTGTGATAACAGCACAGATATGGTATACAAAACAGATGCGATGGTTGCGCGCGGCCATCATTTAATTCGACACCTTATATCGTATAATCATACATTAATTGTATCGCGATTACTGTCGGATCTGACTTTTTATAAAATCGTCAATATGGACAATAAGGCCCACGAGCCTCGAATCATACGGCAGATCGGAATTTTATCGGTTAGCTATCTATTAAGTGTATTGTAGGTAAACTGGTGTACGTATTATGTCCGCGGATAGCGGCTTTCGCGATAGTTCGCGACGGTGTTACTATCGCGGTACGGTGAATTTCGCGAACTTGGCGATTGCGACTGCCGTCATTTGCATAACCGGGCAATCAACGCGATACTAGACGGAACCGTTTTCGAAACGAGTTTTTTCAACTGTAAAATTGTGATAATTATTATTTCCGGGCGTGTAGTATTTATACAACGCGTACATGGTGCGCCTTTCTGCATAACGTTATTACCGCATCGCACCGCAAACCTAACCGCTTGTAAACGCGCGCAGGGCCGTCGACGTTTTAAAAAATGTAATCCCTTTCGTTGAACTCTCCGCGCGACCGTATTTTCGTAATATCCATTATGATTCATAATGGATCGTCGTCATAATATTGCACCTATTGCGTGTCTACGTTTCTGCGTCCCCGATATTAAAATTAAACCGCGTCTTCACGGCGCAAACGAGCCGGCTGCGGGGCAATGCAATGATGCCGATAAACGTGTACCTATCTACGTTGTCCGCCTATATATATATATATTTATATTTACGTATATTATACATATTTATGAACGTTATATTATTATTATTATCTTAGCCGAACCTGTACGAGCCCTGTAGTACAGTCGGCTGTAAGTCGCCCTCGCACAGTATACGCGCATTACAGTCGTGTAATATTCAAACGTCTTGGCCCGATGCGGTATACGTATACACGGGGCGATGTTCTCCGCTCTCGACGTGAATAATATAAATTACGGCGCGTACCTGCGCTCTCGTGACCGAACCGGCGGCGGTAATGTAATCCTTAACACAACAGTTATTACACTATACGTATTATAATAAAATATATAGCGTACGGATGACGTACCGGTTACCATTCGGTTATTATTATTCGAGCATTTCGGCCGTTATAGGCACCGGAAAAAAAAAAAAAAAAAAAAAAATGTTACTGTTGATATTGTGTTTGTGTGTGTGTGTGTGTGTAATTTAACGCTGCAGCAGTACTATATAGTGTGTCGCTGGGGAAATCGTTCGAACGATAATATATATATATATATATATATATATATATAAAAATAATAATAATAATAAAAACTACCGTAATCGTATAAAAGCGAAAAAAAACGAAACAAATAAAACCTGGGATCGTAAAATAAATTTCGACTATTATTCGTCGGGAAGAATTAAAAAAAAAAAAAACGCGCACGAGTCGTTCAGACGTGCAGCTAACAAACGAACGATACGCACTATTGTAACGTAACCGCACAAACCGCACGGTCGAACGAAAACGAAATTTTCGAAATTCTAAGTCAATGCGATGAGACACGTATTATAACCTTTATATTGTATACCCTATAGTCACAATATCTATAATATCTGCTACGTGTTATTTTTTATTGCCGACCAATACAGTGCAGGTTAGGTCGGACGTTTGCGCTGACGTTGCGCGTATACTATTACATTTTTGCATCGACAATATTATACGGCTGCAGCGAATAAAAATCGCAATAATACAACAACCGAATTCAAATATTTAGCCTCCTATAATATAATAACAACGATAGCATTTGTATATCAATACGTGTTATTGAAAAGTGCAGTATACCAGACGTGTCCCTGAAGGGAGGGGGGGGGGTGACGATCGAGAGAAGTAGACCTACATTGGAAAAACGGAAAATTTACGAAAAAATGATTTTTATTATTTTAAATTGTGTTATTTATTGTAACTCAGTTAAAAATACTCGTAGAGACTTGAAATTTGGGCAAAAAACTTATATTTGCTATTTTTAAGTGGTAAAACTGTAAAAACATTAGAGCCATTTATCTATAAATATACACTTTATTTTTTATTTGGTAGGCACTCTGTGGAATGTGGATAAAATTGTAAGACAAAACAGAAATTATTGAAAATTGAACAACAGGTTAATTATAAGTCATACTTTGTGGTCAAAACAAAAAAAAATTTAATTTAATATAATACATTTTTTTTATAAGAATTTTAATATCAAATTTTGACGAAAATTATAAAAAATTATGTGGAACGTACCTAATTAATGCAAGTCCATACAAATTGTTTCAATATGATATTTATTTTACTGTAATACATATTGTTGAAAAAGCAATACTATTAACCGAACTCCGCTCAGAATCGTTTTTCGTTGGCAATAGTTAATAATTAATATATGCATATATATAATGATTATTATTGTTTACATTTGTATATTCAATTTTCTTCTTTATTCGACCTTCCTAACTTCTCATCTACAACAGTGGTCCACCCATCGTGCGAAGTATATCAGTCTTTTTTTCTTATCAATCATTAATATTAAATTTAATTATTTACCCTCCCCCATAGTCAAGATCTGGAGACACCCCTGCAGTATACTGTGTATTGTTCGTGTTAACAGAAAAAATGTATGTATTATACGTACGTTATTTTTTAATTAAAATCCGGGAAAGATATTTTTCAGACTGTTGTATTTTTTTTTTTTTTTTAATTATTAAATTTATTAATTTTTCAGTGTGCGGGTAAAGTGTAATATAACACGTTGAATGCCACGATAAGACCTGAATAATTGGTTTCACTTGCTTTTAACCGACACTTTACGAGGTATTTACTCTGGTATTTACCGTAGGTTACTGCCGTTACTGGTAAATAATTTTGAAAAAAAAAGTTGGAATTTTAAAAAAGCTGATAAAAAAAATAAATAACTTAACTGCTATGATACGGTATAGACGAATTTCGGTCAAATGATACCGATAAATGAGACCCAGTTATTGACTATCGCGTTTTAAAATCTTTTGTCGAATAACATTGTGAGACCCTATCATGATTCTCACTTCGCATTTTTTCGATAAAGTTTAATATTAGATCTCGCGGAAAATAATAAGTAACTATGTCGAAAATCTTCGACATTCAACGTGATAATATAAACAGTTATTTTATATTGACATAATAAATAAGTAGTTACAGTAGGAGGTATTATATAGTCCTGTTTGAATTTCGAAAAACCTTTTACACTATAGATAATAGATGCCTATATCGAATACATATATATATTGGAATATTACAATTTCGTTACCGCATTGCACACGTGGCTGAAAAAAACAAAAGTATACCCGATATTTTGTAGAAATAGAAACGTTCTCTATACCCGTACCTATCTATACTGTATATTATTATGTTATTTGCACGCGGAACTGTACGTGATTATTTTTTGCATTTTATTTCCGTATATCTGATAGGAACATCATGCTCGTCGAGATGATGGGTTAAAAAGAAAAAAAATCCACAACGATTTTTAAACGTGAGACCTTTGACGGTAGGTACTCAGCATATAATATATACACGTGATGTTATCCCCCGGGAGTCTAGAGGGTTGTTATCACGTAGGCATGCAAAGCATAACAGCATAACCTCCTCTGGTGCTCGTTTTTATGAATATTTCACGAGACTCTTGATTAGAACATATGTGTACAAAAAATATGGTGATTTTTTTTTTGTCTCTCCCTATCCTATCTACTACAAATCGCGTCAATTCTTGTGTATTTATAATATGGTGTCCAGTGGTGCGGTGAAAGGATTTTTAAGAGACCGTCTACATTTGTTTCATTGCGCGGTTTTTCAGGGGGTTTGGGTAGCTCATGACTTTATACAACAAACTGTAATATATCAATTCACTTAATTCGCATTGTACTTAATCGATCATAATAATATTAGTCAGGGAAATTAAAATGGGCAATCCCATACGGCTGTACGATATCCGAGTTGTGTCGGTATTCATTAGAGAATTCTCTTGGTGTAACTAAAAATACTTTTAAATAGTTCAAGCATAAAATTTGGTTGAATTACTTCAACTTACTTCTTACTTACTGCAAGTTGATCTTTATTTATGGTAAAGGACACACCTACATTCGGCCATTTCTACAAATTATTAAAAGTACTCACTGTAACCACTAAAAAAATTCGATTTTTGTTTTATAAGTAGTATAGGTGTTTCAAATTTTGATGTCCTCACTGGTGCATACAGAGGGTGGGTTAGAGGTCAGATCCCACATCCCCAAAATGATTTCCATCACAATTTTTATTTTAAAACAAGTTTCACATTCAGCAGCATAATATCTTATACAACACAATGGAATAATCAAATTAAATTTCATCGAAAATAATTTATTCTGTAATAACGGTGATGGAGTGTACTGCACTGATAACGCGTGCTATCCCTCCTCTAGGAAGTTTTCGTAAACACAACCCCGTTGAAAACAAATCCTGCGTGTGCTATTGGCTGGCCTCGTAGGTGAAAAAAAGTTCTCCGCGCCACTGTTAGATTCCGTTAGAATACATATACCTACGGAGTTTTCGCCCGTATGCATAGCATCGACCGCAAACCGAAGTAATAACTCATTACCGGCGAAGTTATATTATATGTATAAAAAATAAATATATACCTAGGAGAAAAGTCGTTCGACCGATCCGAACTTTAACCGCGCGACGGCAGTGGCCGTATATGTTTCTCGCGATCAAAGGTTATAAAAAGCCGATTGTCTGCGATTCAGGTTTACACAACAACGAGATTTATACGTTTCCGTCTTTCCGCGCACCGCTGCTGCAGGTATATGTATATAATATATATTATATAGGCTTTACGCTCGACTCTTTTTCCATCGGTAAAGTAAAAAATAAATGCCCTTATACCGTTTATATCTTTTGGCCGAGGGGGAATAAAACAACTCCTGCAACCCTCCCCGTCCCTTGTCATTCTCGTTTGAGACTTTACGCGCGCCACGCTCGGGTTCTCCATTAACCTATAACATCTGGTAAACCAGAAACCGAATTTTTCGATTAACCCGCCGTGAATGTCCACCGCGGTAGAACGAATTACACATTCCTGTATACGGAATTTATAGCATAATATAATATTCACTTTTTTACCCAGTATTATAGTGTATGTCTTATGAATAAAATGCAAAAACGCGCAATATATATTTATATCGACACACGAGTACTAAACGTCTAAAACGCATACCGGGTGATTTTTTTTTAAACACGCTCACCCCACGTTTACTGTGAAATTACGCGTGCATTCAAATTTTGATTTTTTTGGAATTTTTAAGTGTTGTTAAAGACGATATTTTCGAATACAAACACTTTTCACGACATTTAAAGAGTATCCCGTGGCGATAGCGACTATGAGTTTTCAAACGAAAACCTACATGATGTTTTATTGCAAATAGTGCATCAGACTATTTTTCGGAAAATGTTAACGTATTGTAATTGAAATTTAAATGGTCGATCTGTATATTCGTACATTTATTACCGAGAATTTTTTTATTTATTTATTTTTTTTTTTGCAATTTAAACAAAACTATAATATGCTTATGTATTCGAATATTCAGAACGTCGAAATTACAAAAAGGCTGATACTGCTGTATGCCATTGCAATAGAGGGAAGTAGAAAATGAGAATACATAAATACGATAAACGGTTCTGACCAGAGTATTAACTGTCGTATTTTTTCCTTTTTTTACCAAGGTAATCCAGAAGTCAACAAAAATTGTACAAACAATTTATAGTTTTTCCCGTATAAGTATTAAGAAAAATATACAAGGAAAATAAAGCTTTCCTAATGCACCAACTAAAGAAAACAGTTCCTATAACGTTTCGCTCGGGATCTAAAAAAAAATGAACACTTAAAATTTCAAATTTTACTGGAATAATAATATTAAATGATAATGCGGTCAAATGGCTAAAAAATAGTTACACATGCAACGCTTTTTTGTAAAATGTATACGTATTACATTTTATTTTTGTTTGTTGGCGCGTATTATTTGCCGATTATTGGTGTATATCGTTGAAATACAAACAATCCCATTTACTCCTCTGTCGCACCTTTGAGGTTTTTGCAATTTGCTTTACTCGCATATAGTCGAACGTATACCTAAATGTATGTATGTATGTATAGTATAAAACGAGTTACGGGTTTTTCATTATATTGTATTGGTAGTGAATCCTATTGATTTTTGCAGCACTATCTCGTTCATAGTTTATACATACGATTCCTCGGAAACCACTCAAAAACATATACACCAGTCACCAGACATAAGTGGAGGTCGGGGTATAAAAATCAGTCGCGTTACGCATATTTGATTTATTTCTTTGTGCAAGACGTCCAAACGAGAAAAATTCAATTTTCGAGTCGCGCGTTTGGGAATTTACTTACCCGCGTATATTTCTTTAATACAATATAATAGTCGCTGATGGAAAAATCAAATATATATACTATACACAACTACGACACTATGTAGACAAAAGTTGTTCGTCTATACGTGCGTGTCTCATCGAATAAGTACGAGATGTACTCGCTCAAAAGACTGAAAATCCAAAATAATATTATGTATTTATACATATTCTCTATAGAATGACGCGAAAATATTTTTGTAAATATAATATATAACCGCGTCATTTTCGAGCCTCTTCCAGCGGAAGAGGAATAAAGCTAGTTGTGTTGTTTTTTTTTTTTCCCCCGTGACGAGTTTTTATAGTTAACACCAAACATTGTGTACGTACACTCGCAAGCATTCCGACAAAAACGGTCGCGTGTATACGAAGATTAGATTTTGGACCCGTAGTTAAAATTAAGGCCCGAAAGGTCATTTGAATATTTTTTTTTTTTTATACATAATAATATGTAGAACGAGGGGAAACAACGCTGCTGTGGTGCTTTTGAAAAATATCATAACCTTTTTTAAAAAAAAAAAAATACATATATACGTATATAAGCGTGTATTATTAAGCTGCACGAACGGTTTAACTGTGCGCCGCGTCGTCGTGCAGTTTTTCTCCGCGATAATTTGTTTTTCATTTTTTTTTTCCACTCCAAGAATAAACAAGGATTTTTTTACATATATACTTACCGGTAATACCGGTTTTACGTTGGTAGTGCCGCGTTCTTTGATCGTTATCCGTTCCTGTGCGCATTTTTATAATTTTTTTTTTCTCATTTTTTTATGTAGGTACAATGACGTCAACGATCCATTATTGTAGGTATTAATTTCTCTGTGACTACAAAGTACATATAGGTACTATTATACCCACACACCGATATCGTTATAACGGACGATGTTAACGAGTTTCGATTATCTGAATATATTATGAATACGTCCCGACCACTCGAATTCATTCGCACATTCTATTCGTAAGGTATGCAAATAATAATCAGCGGCGTGCCCACGAATCTCCAGCGGGACGAGACGTAGCAAATAATACTGTAATCATGAACAAATCGTAGAACCTTCTCTAACCAATTTGACTGTACGGGAATTAAAAAGCTGGATCCTAAAAAGGCCCTTAGTTTGATCAATAAATCAAACTTGTCCGTGCTATTTGACCGAAATAATACATATACTCGTATATTAATAAATTTAATTACTAAATAAACGCTCACAGTCGTTGTATTTTTAAACTAATAGGGGGAGGGGAGGATATAACCCATAATCTCCCCATTTCGTTGTAATACAATTATTATTGAAATTGTACTTGACAATAAGTATCCCAGTTTTTTCGTACGAACCGCACAAAAGATTATTTTCGGCACGACGATGATTCAAAAACTTTTGAACGCATACATTTTCTTGTTTAAAACAAAACCTATCTGATCTGTTAAAATATAAAGGAAGTGACATAATTTAGTATAGATACCTGAGTAGCGAAGAAACTAATAATAATTACCTACAGCGCTAGTAATTTGATTTCATACGATAATTTTAGGGCAGATTTAATTATTAACTAATTACAAAAATATATAAATTATAAATTCGCGTATAATTTTTTTCTCAATAATATCTTACAATTTTCAAATTCGGTATTTTACACAGTGGCAAAATCCTAAATACGCCACTGCAGATGATATCCCCTATACATTTACTGTTCCTGATTTGTTGAAACTTGGCGCCTGTACGGTGATATACCTATACTTAACGTTAAATATCAATTATCGTGTTAACATAAATGTATTTATTGCCTTTGGGATAATTTTATTGCGTTGGCGTCGTAAAACGCGTTTAAACATCCGTTATTCGGACAGTGTAAAGTGGAGACGGAGAAATTATTATTGCACACAGCGGCGTCTACTACAGGCGGTAGCTATAAAATAAATTTATTAAATAATTGTTGTAAATAAGAATCCATTACAGACCGTAACGCGGTTCCGACAATTAAAGAAAGTAATAGCTTTCTATTATTATCGGACTGTATATGCACTATGCAGTACGAGAGAGAAAAATCCCATCTATATAGTGTATACCCGATAGATCATCCGATTAAACTGTTGCAAGGTAGAGAGCACAGTGACTATAATGAACAATAATCATATAGGTATAATGAAGGGTGACTAAGATAGTTTTTAATTTTGTAATAATTTTTAGGACGATTGATAAAATATAATTGATTTCAGTGGAGCTCGAAAAATATGATATTTTATTATCGTCACATAGTTAAAGTTTAAGTCTACACGGGAATAGTCGGACGCTTTTAAAAATTAAATTTTAAGAATCTTATTGGAGCACCGTGTCAATTTTTTCTGCTTGCCGAATGTTTGGAAGCCTTGAAAAAAATATAAAATCAATATATACAATAATTTTTAAAAGTCACCTATAAAAGAAATCGTCACTACTGCAGTAATACTTTTATACAATTTTATCAGCTTGCGGATGATGGTACCTGTAAAACTGAATTGATCCTAAATGTTTTCTGTGGCTCGTAAACAAAAAATGGCAAACAAACTGACATGGTGTCTCGAAACCATTTGTCAAGTTCAATATCGCCCAAAGGTATAGCCGACAGAGGTAGGATCGGGTGTGGAGATTAAACTCTCCCTCCAATTTCGAAGTTTCTACAGGAATTAAATTAAAAAGAAGGAAACTCCCAATTAGCTCGTATAGCAAATAATTATGGGGGGGAGAGGGAATCAATTCCCTCATAAATGACCAATACGATCTACGTCTTAGATTATAGAGTCGGTCACATACCCAACTTGTATGGGTACATCGTATTTTATTAATAATTCGCCTGCTGTACCGCGCGCGTTATTTCAATTTATTATGATTTTATTTTTCGAAATATAACCGTCCGAAATATTCATTTACCGCGATATTATGCAACTACAGATGTTCGAGACTTCAATCAACGTTAATGTAATATAACATTGTCATAAACTCGCGTGCTCTCGCGGTATAATATTTTCAAACGTCTGAAATAATTTCTTCCTCCCCCCGCTAATTAGATAGATTATGTTATTATGTATACGTATACCTATATACGAATATCAAACAAATCCCGCGGGACATGCGTTCGTGTTGTGACGGCGAACCCCGTTATGATATACTTAACCCAACAAACATATTACATGCATTTACGATTTTGCGTCGAGAAAACTTCACCCTTCGCTTCCTTGATAGTAATAACACGTATATTGCCATTTTTTCGTTCGTATATAATATGTTTTTGTGTCCGGTAAAACTGTACATACTTAGATCATATACAATGAACAGTCATTGGATATCACGCCTATATGGAACGACTCGATACCGACATAACTATAGAATCCGTGACATCTGCGACTGGTTGCCAATCTGTTTTTCCGACACTCAATCGTTATCACCTTTATTTTAAAATACAATTCAATCCTGCGCCGAAATAAGTGATAAGAGGTCACGCGCGTGCGCGTATCAACTTGATCATACGCAGTCATGTTGGCTTCACACATTTTACAAATTATGTTTTATGTCCATTGTATATGATCTAATATTCTTCGTCATATACCATATTAATGATTAATTATTGCGTAACAATATTATTACCTATCTGCTGTTGTAGTAATCTCATTTTTTTATACATACACGTGTATATCTGAACAATTGGATAATATGGAATAATTCGATAAATCAAAATAATGTTATATATTAATAACTGTATACAAACGCTGATGACGAAACTTTTTTGACGATATACCTATACAGTTTGCAAACAACATACGGTCGAGTAGAGTATAAACTATTTCGATTCTGTATGCATGAGTTCTCGAGATGATTTTTTTCTTTTTAGAGCAGAGATCTGTTAAAAAAACGTGCGTATATAATGCGGGTACCGCCATCATATATAGTACACAGTAACGTCATCATTATTGGTATACGTATACCGTAATACCTAATTGGCGGGAAGCGGGAAATCTAAATTATGTATATAGAATAAAGAAAAAGTGCAAGGAAGAAGGATCAGGAAAATACCTATTACTCCGTAACCCCCGAAATGATAATAACGCTCGTCATTTTTGCGGGGCGGTTAGCGTCGTTTAAATATTCTATTTTATTTTTCTCCGCGCAATCTATTGAAATGTGCCGCCGGTCTCCCGGCCGAAGTTATTAGTAAGTATACGATACGGTTAATAAATTTACGTTTACAGAATTTCGGACCGAAACGCACCGTCGTCGTCGTCGTCGTCGTAGATTCTTATTTTCGCGATCGGTTCGATGAATATAATAGTGTGGATAATGCGGATTAGTTTTTTTTTTTTTTTGTCTCTATAATTATACATTTCGCTCCGCGGTTTGGTACCTATCTATACATAGGTGTATATTGTGTTATTGTTATATATGCATATCTTCAGCTATAATACGCGACCGCGGTGTTTGTTACTTATTTAATACGCGGTAACAATAAAACTCGTAAAACGAATTAATTTTACATGTTAAATTACTTTTTCTGTTATTTTTTTTTTCCTATATATATACTTTTTCTATTGTTTCTGTAGGTTTGAAGAACGTTTATTTTTATTTTTTTTTTTTTTTTTACCTACCATCACGTGTTTTAATTCTCATATATACAATATATTTATGTACAACGACAAAAAAAAAAAAAATAATAATAATAAAAAAAAATAACGTATACATTTCGGTATTTGTTTGTTACGGCGCGGGAATATAATACACTATGGGGATTTGTTTAGCAAAAAACATCATAATAATAATAACAATAATATTTCGACCAAAAATTTCGTGCCATTTTGTTTTGCTATATTATCTAACATTCCACGCGTACAGTATATAAAAAGTTTTTGGGGAAGGGGAGTGGTGGGAGTAGAAGAAGAAACAAATACTAGTATCTCGCGAGATTAATGTGTCGCTCAAGAGGGGAAAAAAATAGATATAATAATAATATTATATATGACGTAATATTATATTTTATTACCGTATAATATGCCATTTATGTATAATATTATTGTCCGCTCGCGTATAAATAGATATTCAATAGCAGTGGATGCCAATTTTTTTTTTTTTTTTGGTAGGGATCTACTTTAAGAATGTATTTTTCCTTTGATGATCGAAATCCATAGAAAAAAATGTAAAACTATGAACTACCTATAATAGGTACAAAACATGTATATTAATAATAAACATACGCGTGTACAAAATAATAAAATAAAAATCTATCGACATTGAAATCGTCCGCAATCTACCGGTCCTGCCCTGGAATATGTTCATAATAATATAGTGTATAGGCTTAGAATCTTAGATCGTATGCAATGGATACAAAACATAATTTGTAAAATGTGTGAAGCCAACATGACTGCGTATGATCATGATGATAAGCGCATGCGCGTGGCCTCTTATCACTTATTTTGACGCAGAATTTAATTGTACTTGTAATAAAGGCGATAACAATTAACTGCCGGGAAAACAGATTGACAACCAGTCGCAGATGTCACGGATCCTGGTTATTGAAAATTATTTAATTTAAGATAATTAATTTACTGTTATTTAGGTAGTTATTCTCGTCACTTATATTTTATTACTTTAAATTAATTATCATAGAGCTGTACTGGATATTTATTAGGTATATGGTGAAATTAATAAATTTGACAACGTCGCATATAATCTCATACGCAATCGTGTTTATTTTTTTTATTGAAGGTATTTTCTAACCCAACATACAAACGTACGCAATCGTGTTACCAAAATGGATCGTGTTCCACCCGACTCGAGCCCTCTTCTTATACCAAAGATACAATAATAAAACCGGCTATATTATGTGTAGTGTTACCGATTCTGGAGCTGCGGTGTATATTATATAGCTAAGTACGTCTCGTATAATCTACTTTATACAGTACGGTTATAAAATACAGCTAATGTTGTACGCGCTGTCGCGAAAATAATCATAATAACGTGTTGTTTGTGTTTTAAAAAGTGACATCCGGGAGAGTTGAAATAGGAAGTACTCGAATGATGCGATATTATTATGTTATACTAAATACCCCTCTACATATTATTATACACACGAAATCGTACACTTCAGACTAGCATCGACGGCGGTATTTAAAATAATAATAATTATTATTGTTATTATGCTTGTTCAGCGCGATGTTCCGACCGGGCGACAGTGGGTATCAATGACAAAAGAGAAGTGAGTGGGTACCTATGTATAATATAAGACACACTGCCGTGTGTGTGTAACATTGTTTTCATCGACATTATTATGCTCAGCAAAAATCATATTTATTTCCACACGTCTCATCCCCTCGCCACCACCCTTCCCCCCCCCTTCGGTTAAAATGTATACCTATACACGGTATAGCTCTTCTCTCGTATATACATAATTTCTGCGCGATTACACAGACAATAATACATAGACGGGTAGTTTTTAAAAAAAAAAAAAAAAAATGGTTTTTCCCCTTTTTTTTTATTACAAGTACCTGCGTTTCGAGCGGAGATTTTGTTTTTCCGACGGGGCCGCGCGTTTTAAATGGTTTTGATATTCGAAATACCAGCTATACGCCTACTCGGTAATCGTATATTATTTATACATATAAATGCACGTATTAGTATTATTTTAACAGACACGTAAAATATAATTATAATATCGTATGTACCGCCGTTACGTATATATACATTGAAATATTGTATAATACGGATGGCGACGCAACAGGTTTATTATAATAATATACGTTTCGTACTTTTCTTTTTTTTTTTATCCTTTTTTTTAATCATTTCATTCGTCAAACGCAAACGCCGCGAGTATTTTTTCCATTTGTTTTTTTTCCTCCTAGTTTAGTCCGGGTCCCTTTTGAATCGAAAACGCCGCCGCCTTCGGTGCGGGACGAATAAATCCGCGGTGCTTAGTAAACCATTAAAATATTACGCGTTCATATTATTTAGAAAATAAAAAAATAAAAAATACGTTGATATTACGCCTTCATTTATAATATTAATATTATAGTTATTATTAGCGACTAGAACACGGTTTTCTATGTTACACGCGCATGTTCGTTTCCTTTTCGTATTTATTTTCATTTTTTTTTTATCAACGAGTCGTTTACGAATCACACTGCTGTATACAATCAGAAGTCATTTACAAAGTTTTATTTTTCATATTTTTGCATGTTTTTTTACCGTGTAATTACACGTCGTTTCAACGCGCCGATGTGTCAAAATCATTGCCGTAGATCTACGTGTATTATTCATTTCAAACGAGATTTTTATTCCCAACAAATAGTGAATAGTAAAAAGACGTTTATATCGCATGTTGCACAATAACGGCCGTAAATGAGTTGTTTAAATTTTTCAAACATAATTATTTTTTTTGCTGCACAATATTTAAATCATTTTTATTCGTAGATAGCATGACGTAATGCATAACATAAAACATGTGTATGCAATTACGTAGCGGGCGGTGTTCCGTGAATACGAAAGAGAGATAGTAATATTTGCAATATCAAAATCCTATTTGTATCCCATTCACTGGTAAATTTACTTTTTTCACGTGAATTATTAATTCCTTGTTGGGTATAGTGAGAATAACCAACCGATTGGTTTGCGTGCACGCGGAGTGATAAGAATAAAATGTGATTTTGCGCACGTTTCGAGGGCAAATATGTGCGACCAATCAAAAGCGGGTGCGGGTGTGGAAGACGACTCGCTACTCCTGACAGAGGAGCAGGGAAAACCCATTTACCTCGACTCGAACATGATACTGTTGCAAGGAGGATGATACAGTGTCCTAAATGTAAACCTAAACATCGCTAATGCGAGACCGGGACTTTAGCCACCTCCGAATAATCGCAATTACGTAGCGTGAAAATAAGATTATTTTTCAAGTGATTTTCTGTGGCTTAAGGTAGTATATTGTTGAGTAAAAAACTTGATTTAAAAAAAATTTAGTGAAGGAAGAAATTTCTGGGGTGGTTGACCCCCTCTGTGTGCGCCACTGATCCGTGGACCATGGTTTTAGTGCGTATAAATCTGTGCTTTACCAAATTACCTAATTGTTAAAAAATTAACCAATATAAATATAAGTGCAAAACTATTACTACACGCGTTTATTATTATGCGTATTGAGTCGAGCCGTTCGACGCGGGCGAAAGGTCGGAAGACTTTCACCGGCGCTTTCCAAGCCGGATGTGTCCGAAACGTAATATTATTATTATTATCATCGTTACGTGATGTATAATAATACATCCGCATCCGAAATCCGAATCGTTTAGTCGATGACTTATACCTATGGGCCCGACAACTTTCCCGTTATCGCCCCGTAACAGTACCTAATAATATGATCATCATCATCCTCGCGTATATGTAATATAATATAGACATTAGTTTTGCATTAAATCACAGACACGAATGCCGCGAGTATACTCGTATAACGTTATTATAAGATCATTATAGGCATTTGCAGTGTACTCTAATTATAATTTGATCGCATTCGATTTTACATCAAAGTGCCGGGGTCGGTTACCGCGTTTCACCGGTACAAACCGCTTCACGATTATAACGGCTAAAAGCAAGTCCCCTACTGGACTGTCCGAACATCTATTCGAAAAAATGGCGAGGCCGAAATTTTTCCCGAAAAACATCGAAACGTAAGATTATAAATATTCACAGATTCGTAGCTCCGCCTGATTGATTTTCGCCGATATTTTTCGAAATCTAAACAGTATTCGCCAACAGCTCAGGCACTGCTGAAGTGAGGATTTGAAATAAAACCATTAATCTAATTACCTTTCTTTTACTCCTTTTTGGCGTGTTTCGATCTTCCGGTATTGTCTGTCTTTCTATACTCACTCCAATAGTCCTTTTGCCTTCTGTTTGGCCGCTTTACGTTAACATATTTTCGGCCTCGGGCCCTTGCAGATTTTCGAGACGAAATCGGTTCATAATCGTTCCATTGCTTTTTTCCAGGTCGTATAATCCCTCCGGGCGTTTCTAGTTGTGTATAGGGATGCGTTACGATTGCGTACTGGTCTTTTTCACTATTACGATTACGTACGTTCTACCTACCCAAATTTAGTGCAAAGTTGCCGTTGCATATTCACAAGCGTGATGTTTGTGAAAAATTTGTAAACTAACTTATTTTAGGAAAAACCTTTGATTAACTATTCTTTAATGTACTCAGTTTGTTATACGTAATTGTGAATATTATTTCCACAACTAAAGTTATCGAAAAAAAAAAATAATAATAACCGCATGTAAATAACTGTACACTCGATCTAAAATAGATGGTAATATATTCGATTTTTATCTGCAGGTACTGGTTATCTATATCAAGGTTTTAGATTATAATTTATTCGTTTATTAATAGTTTTTAATCTACTATACTATCGGTTTTGTGTCAATAGTTTTAATTCTAAATTATGTTGTTATTTTTATAATCATTTTCAATATTTTATAACATAATATATTATACACAGATTACTGAAATATAATTTATAATTTGTATTTGCACCGTATTATAAATTATATATTGCCTTAATTAACTATAAACTATTGTATTATTTCAATAGTACCTAATAACCTAGTAACTTTAAATCATTTTTTATTAATTCACGCACAATTTTTACTTAACAGTTAATTTGCTATATATTTTACTAGCCACCAAGTATTCGTATGTTATACGTTCACATAAAAATCATTATATACATAGTTAATAAACTGAGTATTGCATGTTGGCAACGTTGCACTCATTTTTGTACGCAATCGTAATATCTTTAAGGGTCAGGTACAAAAATCGTACGCAGTCGTAGATCACCGGTGTATACAGCTATTGTGTATATTTATGCCCGAGCTAAATGCGGCTTCATAACCACCGAAATGCTCTTGTTTTTTTCGTAATGAGTATTCAGTAAATTATAATATTTTATGTTTATCGACTTGTTGGTTTACTCATATATTCGTGTCCTCTCCTGCAGTTCATTGTATCGCTAAAGTTTTTGGCCCGGTTGTTTTTTGTTGTTGTTCGTGTCCGCCGATGAATATAACCCGCAGACATTATTTTATTATCTTATGTATCCCGATAAGCTTCGATCGAAATAATTCGTGGGCGCCCACAGTAATATTATTTAGTTATTGTCCAAAAACGTTCTCGATGTTGTAATTTGTATTGTATTACGAGTTTTATTCGTCCGACCGGTTAATATAATATTTGGAACACCGCCACGCAGTCGCTTCGCCGCCGGTTTTATTAATTGTTATTGTTTTCATTCCCCCCCCCCTCCCATCAACCAATAATATCTATCTGTATTATATTATTTTATTCAGTAAATAATAACACAAACGGCGAAAATATTATTGTTATTACGGTTGTTGTTGTAACATAATGTACAAGTTATTGACGATGATGAATATTGTGCGAAATAATTATTTTAGAAACTTTCCGGGCGGAACTTGTTTGTCCCCCCCCCCTCTCCCGAAAACCAAGTCGACCGAACAATATAATATTATTATTATCTTTGATGAAAACTTATAGCAATAATTATTATAATAAAGACGATCGAACTCTAAGTAAACATTTATACCTAAAATGGCAAACTTTTTAATTGGGTGTATCCTACTATTATATTGTTATCGTCGTATAGACCTTTTAAAAAATCGCAATCGAATGATCACAGAAAAAAATAATAATAATAAAACAGTTTAAACACAAACGGAAACCCATTGTTGCGATAAATATGATAGTATTAGCTCGAAACGAACCTACACCTAGTATAATACCCATTGTTCGTTTTAATGTAAATCGTACCTGCAATGATTAAATCTATAAACTTTCGAACGGCCAAAGTGAAAACGATTTTCGCGTAATCGTTTTACGTTATGATTTCGATTTTCAATTTCGGCGGTTAAGACATAAATTAAGATCGTAATGTTATTATAATTACGAAATTACTGATCGTTATTTACATTCAGATCATAAATATAACAATTCGTTTTAGGAAATTCTGGCGGCAAATCAATATTTTTTTTTTTTATCGTTGATTTTATAAATTCGCTCTATAGGTACTGTATGTTGTTTTTTTTTTTTTCAAAGTTCATATTAAATATTTCATTTGTATCAAAATAATATTATCTTTAAAAATTACCTGAAAATCTTCGAACCAACGATGGAAGATAGCGGAAAGTGAACGAGGAGAATGTTATATTCCAAAGTGTGTGTATATGTAACGCAGAGTGGTGGTGCACGCTCTTAGGGATTCGAATGAGCTTATAAAATAGCGGCGATAGAGGAGAATTCGTGTGGGAATAGACTCCTATGAAAGGTCCGAAACGACATCGAAAGACGTAATAATACTTGGGATTTCGATTGGCGGTGGTTCGAACTGGTAAGAAAACCCAATTATGGATATAGACGTAATAAATACCGGAGAAGACGAGTAGACGACAAATAATTGCATGTGATTTATTTGAGGACTTCTAAACGAAAAAAAAAACGAGTAGAGACGTCATACTGAAACTGTTCAATAATAATTAAATACCTCGCAGAATTAAATATCTATTTTTTTAATACCTATAGTATTATATTATTATTATATGTAAATATCAATTTCTAAAAAAAAATTATGTATAAAAAAAGTGACGATATATTAATTATATTAAAACCCTTTAAAACAATTAAAATAATAATAATAAAATGTGAATATTTAACACGAAATATTATGACTTTATTAAATTCGCTTACCTATCTACCCACTGCAGTATATTATAAACTTGTCGTTATGACGTGTCACTATAAATAATAAATAATGCAATTTCATTTCTCGTTTTATGATAATAAATAGTCAACGTCGGTATATTATGTATGCACCGAAGCGAACAGTATAAAGAGAATTTGTATAATATATATATATATATATAGGTTATTCTTACTCATATAAATAATATATTGTACCTAATTTTAAACTCTTTTTTTATTTTTTTATTTTTTTTTTTATAGTTCGGAGGGTTAGCTTTTTCAGTTGAACATATGTATGATTTCGGGGCAAATATATTATTATTATTACTTGATAAATTAATTTACTACCGACAATAATGGTCACTGTATAGAGAACGAAAAACAAAAAAAAAACAAAAAAACAAAAAAGTCACCGAAAGCTAGCTGTTATATCATAAAGTTGTATACTTTCGAAAACTTTGTTGTTTTGTTCATATCGGAATATATTTTTTTTTTACACTTCGTAAATGACTTTTTGTTCTTATTAAAAAACTAATTTTTTTTTCTCCCAAACACAAACTACAACGTTACAACCTAAATTATAATATTTCCCCTTAATTACGTAAGAGTATACAACAAAGGTTAAAAAAAAAAAAAATGATAGCCCTAAAGTTGTTGATTGTCGAGTTGATTGTTTAGCATAATAAATGCGCCCGCGCGGTTTAGATAACTTCTATACAACTTCGTTCTCTGCTGTTCAAATAGTAGATTCTCTATATAAACAATATTATATATTAAATTAAAAAATATTATTTTACTCCTCGGATATGATAATCAGATAAAAATGGTTACCAAAAAAAAAATCCCGGAACCAAGCTACCTATGTAATATTCAAAGCTGAGCTTTTTACTGGTTAAAAAGTTAAGTTGTAAGTTAACTTAACTAGTTAACAGAAAAAAAAAAAGAATGTTAGAAATATTAACTGTTATTTTTTTAATAAACAATTTTAACTTAGCTAAGCTATAAAAGACGATGTTTCTAAGTTTTTTGCATTTTTATTTTAAGAAAATTAGGTATTTCTACGGGAATATTATTATCACATAACAATAATAAGAAGAAGGGGCGAGCGGTCTATTGGGTACTCACGCGAATCTTGTATGGTAAATTTTATAAAAGTATAAATATATTACAAACTACATTTACGAGTGTAGTCAAGGGTACTTTTAAAAAAGTAATTTTTAACTTTTTCAACTCTAGCTATTATATTTTCCCGGAAATATGGAACTTGACTTAAACTAGTTTAACATTCGGTTAACCTCCGCCCTCCATTAGCTTTTTAATATTAATACACTTGTATTCGACGTTAAATTACACTCTGAACATAATAATATATAACTTCGGTCCCAGAGACTTTGGCTTAAGTCAATTTCGTACATGTAGTTATCGGATACAAGCTAATTAAATTTTGAAAATTGCTAATTGACACGTATGGCATGACAGCTGAATCGCTTAACGGCCTAACCTGAATATGGCGTTCCAAATGGTTCGAGTTGTATTACGATTAAACGACTTGTGCGTGTTTGCCAGACAAAAATTATGTCACAACGACTTAATTGATGTTTTAATTAACGGTACGGCGTGCGTTAGAATATACTCGTATACAATAAGTAAACTTATGGCGTTTAGAACAAAAAGATAAAAAAAATTGAGTAAAGCCGTTGCATCGCTAAGACCGTAATCATAATGTTGTCTTATCGTTTTTGAGAAAATAGTCCGCGATTTATTCCGTACAAACGATTATTGACTTTTGGTATTTTATAATATGTATTTACAATAAATTAGTATGATAAAATACCCGCTATACAGTCAAATGCTATAATTGTCATCATAATTATATTCCGTCGACATTAAAACGGACCATTTAGACATTAATTAATGCGTATACATAAAATAATGCGAATATGATGGGGGGGGGGGGGAAAAAAACAAATATACGCCGCGNGGGGGGGGGGGGAGAAAAAAACAAATATACGCCGCGCATTAAACTCAAACGAGACGACGACGAAAGCTTTGAAAGTAAATATTGTTAAAAAATAATATACATAGTGCAGGGTATACATCGACGGTTAATTCGGTCGACGGGACGCCGCCGTCTTATTGGCGACGAGATCACTCGGGATGTTTGCAGTGATGCGACCGCACCAATATTATAACATGGGTAATTGCTTCTTTCCTCGCCCTCTCTCCCACCCCCACCCCCCACCCCCGTCACCATCCGTTCGGTTCGAGTGCGTATTCGAGAAACGTATCCCGGGAAAACGCCGTCTTTGGTCGCGGCATATTTTTCTTGGCGTTATGTTCGATGTCGTTGTAAATAATCGCGACTTATGGCGAACGAATGGCTGCGAATGGGGATGGGGGGGGGGAAACCAACGATATAGTCAATATTCCCGAAATGCCGTTCGGCCATTTTTTCACCGTTTCCGCACGATAACCTGTACGGTATGTATGCGTTTTCGCCGTCACGGGTATTTTTTAACTCTTTAATACTCTTATTATAGCTGTACGTCCGTCCCGACGGATTCCGACCGTCTGTTCGCCCCCGTACTGACGCGTACACGGACACCCGGAGGTGGAAGAAATACGAGGATTCTGCCCCCCCCACCCTTAGATTTCAAAATTTCAAATATAATTTTTATAATCAGATAATTTATATTATAATTTTGTTATAATTGTTCGGTGTTTGATTTTATTATGCCCCTCCCTATGACGTCGGTCTGGTCATCAAAGGGCCCAGGTGGGTTCTTATTTAGGGTTATACGTATGAAAAAACGTACGAAAAACTTTATTCAGACACCGGCCCTCCCTGGTAAATTCCCTGCGTGCGCCCATGGATAGGTAATGATAAGGTATCACTGTTTCCGGTTTGACAATCGTTTTTCCCCGCAGCCCTACAAAATATGTACACGGAAATGCAAATGTATAGAGCGACTCGTAGGATAATGTATAATACAATAAAATGTACCGTTAGTTATACAGTGTATCGTAACGGATTCCGATCGATTCGTACGAGATGTCCTATAGCGAGGAGACGGTAACATAATATTTTAACGTTTATGTACACCCATTAACTGTTGTTTATTTTATTTTTTTTTTTCCTCGATCTAATCAATATTCGGGTTATTCGAGTGTTTGTATAACTGAAATACTAAACTCGAATTTTGTTTTTTTAATATCATGTGGGCCCCAAAGCGTTATGGTGTTGTGAAATATTATTATCTGTGTAATACTATACTCGCCGCCGCATAATAATAATATAGGTATAGGTACATAAAGGAAGTAGTAGGTCATCGTCATCACCATCGTTTGTACTCTCCACAAAAGGTGAGGTGTTGAACGAATTTTTTTTTTTTTGTTTGTTTATATTTCTTCATTGTGAATATACTTTGAATTTAATATAATTTATATAAGGGTTAAAAGTTTAAAACAAAGAGTGTTTATGTACGCGCGCGCGACTAAAAAACAAAAATCTTTTCAATTATATTTTATACGAGGTATACATATAGGTGTATCGTGGGGTCTTTCTGCGTCTAAAATATTATAATCATATTATTATTCTGCACAGTTTTCACACCCTTTTTAATAAAGCGTAAAAAAAAACCGCGCCAAATGCTTCTGTTAATAGCGTCGTGTTGTCAGACAACGTTTATTGTCCGTAATGAAAACGATCGAGTTATTATTACGTCCGTATATATTTGCTTGAGGGGAATTTGAACCGCGTGTATAAACAAAACTTTCGAACAATATAAAAATCATAAGACCCTGTGTCTGGTTTTTACCGTATATAGTAGGCATACCGACATTTTTTTTTTTTTTTTCTGTTATTTGTCCCGTACACTTCCTCGTTGTCGCGACAAACTCGTCAAAACCGTAAAAGATATTGAGACCGATAGGAGTGGCGGAGCGTATGCAGAGAGAAAGATTGCCCGGAGAAGCCGAAAAACTGAAAAAAAAAAACAAAAACAAAAACAAAAACAACTTCTTACAAGAAGCCCAATACGATAGAGGCGAAAGAAAAACCAAGATTGAAGAGCACGAGCGTTGGACAGAGCCGATGGCTGGTACCCGCAGTTAAAGGAGCTGTGCAATGTTACGGTTGCATTGCCCGTTGAAATATCTTCTTCCCGCGGCCTTTAGCACTCTCTCGCGGTTTTTACTGTAAATACGAAAATTCCGTAAGCCTAAAACGGCGAGCACTGCTGCGTGTATGTATGCCCCGAAATTCCGGGATTATGTTATTAGACATTTCTGAATACATGCGGGGGGGGGGCATCGCTTCGTAAAAACGCGATCGGCCGTAAATGCCGTGTTACTATTATTGATTCGCTGGCCGGAAATATAATACGCGAACGCGGCGTACCGTATGGACCGTACATACTATTTATTGTCGTATCCAGTACGCGTTAGGTCCTGCAACGTGTTTACATTCTGTGCGCAGTGAGGAATGTATTGATTCTACTGCGATGTACGTGCGGGTGCGTGTTTTTTTGTATGTGCCTGTAGCCGAATTTTCTATCGGAAATCTGGCCCCGATCAAATCTTTTATAGGAACTCTCTTGTAGCGGTTTTCGATCCAGTCGGTGCGTCGAGGGGGTCATTTCGTTTTGTATAGGTTTCGTACTGTAAATGGGAAAAAGCTGTCGATTTTTCGCTACGGTTTCCGTCGATTTTCGGGCTGCCCATTCTAGGAAAAAACACTCTACTCAGAAACGGTTTTCGTTAGCAATTAGTCTATAGTAATTGCTCGCAGATCGTTACACGGCTGTGTAATATGCCCTCGTCTCGCCACCGTTGTTCCCGTCTTTTCCCGAAAAAAAAAAAAAAAAAACATTGTCGTGGTGCCCGTCGGCGGTATCGCTTTTTTTTTTTTTTGTTTTTTTTTTGTTTTTCCTAGAAAATTTTAAACACGCAACACTCGCAGGTATTGTATTTTCATTCGACGACGGTCGTCCCGTCACGACCGCACGTCGTGCCTACGCGTCTGTAAATTATATTATTATATCATCGCGTACCACACGTAAACTCGCAAAAAGTTACCGCGTCCAATTAAATGAACGCGCAGCGCAACGAACTGCAGTGACGGGTTTTCCTTCCATATTTTTTCCCGCCTTCACTCTCGTCCGCCCGTCCGTCCCTACTCGTTCCCGGGGACACCGGTGCGGCAAAACGAATTTGTCGCACGCATCGCGTGGCGTGCCGTTGACACGACGGCGACGGCGAGCGTGTCTGCACCAACGCGCCGAGCCCGTCCGTCGGCGGCGGCGACGAACCGGCGGCGGCCCCGGTGATTAATGACACGTTTACATTCGCTCGTTGTGCGTGGCGGCGCGTTTGGCCGTTGCTACAGTGTTGTACGGTATATCGTGTGTGTGTGTGTCGAGAATAGAAACTCGAGTATAACAATCGGAACGGCTGTGGGCCGGGGCCGGGGCCGGGGGGGGGATGGGAGGGCGGATGCTTGCAGGGAAACCCGGTTGATTACGCGAAAAATTATTAATTTCGTTTTATCTGCGCTGCGGTGCCGCGCGTGCGTTCATCCGACCCGCGTGCGTACGTGTAGCCGTATTACGCGCGGGCACCCGTGTACGGCAGCGCGGCGTCCGCGAGCGTCTCTAGAAACTTTACGACGTCGAAACCCGGAAAGAATAACACAACAGCCGAGCGCCGCGACCGCGGCAACGACGGAACGGAGAAAGGGGGGAAAAAAAAAAAAAAAACTTCGAAACGACCAAAGTTTCGCGGCCGGAATAGACAGCGTAGTGTAGTAGATGGACGCGCGGCTAATTATATCCGCGGCGGTCCCGCGAGTCAAAGCCGGCAGGGGGACGGGCGCGAGGGCCCGGGCGTTTTTCCTCTCTCCGTGAATTCTTCATGGGCACTGTGTTGTACAGAGTCGTACGTACACGCGTACGTCGTCCGTAAACGAATCGGCGCGGGAAAATCGGGAAGGGGGGGAGGGCAGGGTTATTTTCCGGGAGGAAAAAGTTTTCCCGGCAGTCGTTATTGTTATTATTATTGTTATTATTATTCGTATTATTCGTACTGTAATATGTACAGTTATCGCTGTATTACATTGTATTAATTTTTATTTTTTCGCTTTTCAGTCACGACAGAGACACGCCGTTCACGTTCCAATTGGGCGTGGGTCAAGTGATCAAAGGCTGGGATTTGGGACTGACGAAGATGTGCGTGGGCGAAAAGAGGAAGTTGACCATACCGGCCGATCTGGCGTACGGTGACCGCGGAGCAGGGAACGTCATTCCCGGAGGTAAATCTTGTCACTGCCGCCGTGTGCCGTCCACCGACCGTCGCCGTAACCGAAATCTTCCCGTTCGGTCCACCGGCTAAAGCCTCCGCGTCTTTTGTTCCGCTGCGTCTTCTCCGCCGCGTTCTCTCGGCCATCCGTGCGCGCGTCCATTCCCCGCGTGCGGGTTCCGTCGTCGCACTGCAACCGGTGACTACTGTACCGTACGCCGCGACGTGACTACGCGTTAAAAAGCGCTGCCGGGTGAAACGTTTTCGTCCGCCCCTATAATCGAAAACAGCGTTCGTTTATACGTTCGTGACCGCGGAACAGCGCAATCGCCGTATTTTCTGTATTTATTTAATTGCGCGATTTTTTTTTTTTTGAAAAAGACGAAACCGACCCGATCCCGTTAAAACGTTCGTTTTGATTTTGAACCGAGTAAATTTACGTTTACACCACACACCACACGTACGTCGAACGTACGGCGTTCGCAGTGTTGAATACACGCGGTACTCAACGGTATCGCGGTTTTGATATTATTAGCTTTATCGGTTGTCGCCACAGGAGGCGGCACAACGACCGCGGCCGACTTGCCGTAACTTAACCTGCCAAACACTCGGCGATCACCGGCGCCCCCCCCCTCCCGCCGCCGCCGCCTATCGCACGTCATGCGAGATGTGCCGTGTAACGCGACCGCCCCTGTTGCCCCCGCCGTAGTTGCGCCGGTAACTGTATAAACGTACGCGTAACGCACACGTAACGGCGGGCCGTTTTGGCTTCTCCGCGCACGCAAGCCCACGGCTCTTCGCGGGAGGTTTTTTTGTTTTTCGCGAAACGCGCTCTTCTCCGACGATAACCTTCTCCGAAAGTGATTATCCGCAGTTTTGCATTCGGTCCTCCGGCGTTGATCTTCCGTTCCCGCCGTACCGAAAACCATTCTCCGCGATCCCGCGGCATTTCGTGCAACGAATAACAACGGGACAATAACGCGCGCGCACCGTGTACCACGGCCGTCCGTTCGCCGGTCGTATTACAGGCCCGCGTTACGGCGCGTTACCACGAGCGCCCGAAGCGTGTACGGTACCGCGTGCGCGCAATATCGCGGCCGGACGGACGGAAGAGGATTGCACGCGACTCGTCCGCGTCACGACGTTGTAACGAATGACGCGTTCGCCCGGTCGCCCGCACTCGCGGTTTACGCCTGCGTGACGCGTATTACGCCGCAGTAATATCGCAACGTCAAGGCACGCGTCGAACGGATCGCGTGAAACGGATTTCGGAATTATTAGCGTAGTGAGTTGTACACGTGTGCGTCCGCTGACCGGCAACGCGGACGGACCGCGCGCATCGGTCCGTCCGGTAATGCCGACGAAACTGATCGGAGGGGCGGCTTTTCCGACCGGCGCGGATGACGTCGTACGGATTGCCGATAAGTGGACGCGTGTCGCGACGCGCGTGTGATATTCTCCGAATCGTGACCTTTTTTTCTTTTTTTTTCGAATATGTCACGCATCCACGTTTTACGTTTTCTCTCAATTCCTCTTCTTTCTTCTCCATCTTCTCCGTCCAACAACAAAGCAATAATCCAACAAGTCCTTCGTCACATTCCGCGTTGTCTATTAGGTACTACTGGGTCTGTTACACGCTGTAATGTTTCAGCCCCGCGGACACTCGCAACGAAAATGCGAATGTTACTGAAAAAAAAAAAAATCCGACAGTCGCATCCGGCAATCCGATCGCTGCGCACGCATACGGTGGACGCGCTACCACAAATCGATCCGTTTCACACGACGCGTGCACCCGTGGACGCGTACCTTTATTCGTATTCCGTCGTGCGTATTGTACGAAAATCGCCCCGGGCGCATGTTTCATAAATACCGCCGGCAGTGCGACCGAACGCCGTCCGAAACCGCTCGAAACGCGGCTCGTCCGCGTCTTGTTTATCGTCCGAACGCATTTCCATCGTGCAATACCGCCGAGGTGTAGGCGGTTTTCTGGATACCGGGCGCGGTGATGAACGTTTTATCGGTTTTACCGCGGTATGGCGCGCGTTTTCTGCCCGTTAACGGCTTTTCTACCGGAAATATTGCTCCGACCGGAGCAACGATCTTCCCCCGGCCGGCGAGATCGGTTTTTGTATTTTATATTTATCGATCAACATCGTCCGTTCTCTTGATAATTCGGCGGGAGGAAACTGAAAAATGTACCGCGATAACGGTTTCGTTCGTTTAGATTTTTACGGTTTTGTTTTTTTATACCGGTACAATTCGCTCCGAATTCAAAACGGTTCTGAAAGAAAATGTCCACTCTTTGTGATGTGTTGAACGGCGGTTTCTTGATTTCCCTCGTAATTATCTTAATAATAGGGAAAATCTGGTAAAAAAAAAAAAAATAGGAAAAACGTACGACAATATAACGGTTTTATTATTTTAGGTTTTTTTTTTTTTTTTTTATAAATCGATAGACCCGAAATTATTACCGAATATTTATAAATTATTCGCCTTTTCGAGAATGTGGTAAAATTTCCAAAATATTCGGGCGATTTTTGAGCGTTATTTATAGACGTTTGCCATTTTCTCATTTTTTTTTTTTTTTTTTAAATTTCGGTATTCTTACATATGTTATTTTTAATAACGTTGTTTATTGTTATTGCAGGCGCCACATTGGTATTCGATGTGGAACTGTTGAACGTCGGCGACCAAGCGCCCACCACAAACGTGTTCAAGGAAATCGACCAGGACCAAGACAAGCAACTGTCCCGAGACGAAGTCAGCGAGTATCTGAAGAAACAGATGGCCGCGGCCGAGGGCGCGGAAGGCGGCGACGACATCAAGCAAATGATGTCCGACCACGAGAAGCTCGTCGAGGAAATATTCCAACACGAGGACAAAGACAAGAACGGTTTCATATCGCACGACGAGTTCTCCGGGCCCAAACACGACGAGCTGTAGGACCTCGCCGGGAGAAGGAGTCGTTCGGAAGAAAAAAAAAAACAAAAAAAAAAAAACACTGTTATAAAATAATAATAATATAATGTAAATGAATTGACGAGGAATATTTGATTAAACCATACCGCGTTACATATAATAGGACGGCGATATCGAAACGGGAAGTACTTAAAAGTTTTGAATACTCTCCGATAATTTTTTTTTTTTTTCTTATCATATATAATGTTGTACTCATAAATTATAATTATTATTATTATTATTATCATTAATGGGGGTTCGCCAAAGAAAAAAAAACCTCCGTGAAGATTTCTGTTTTTATTTTTTATCTTTTTTCTCGTTAAATTGTACGAATAATACTAATTTGTAATATTTATTTGATTCAGACAGAAAACTATGTAATAATAATAATTACATTAGCAATCTATTATACGCGAGTATAATAGAATAATCTTTATATAATCGTAATAATATTGGACTATATACACGATCACTTATGGTCCGACAATTTTTTTTTTTTTTTTTTTTTTAAAAATTGAAAACTTTTTATAAAAAGACTGTTGTAATAAAAATAAAAAATAAAAAAATGTTTTTATATAATTTGTAAAGTGTTTGAAATGTTATCACATTACCTAGTGCAATCCGTTTGTTATACAAGCAGTACACTCCACAGCTTACAGAAAGAAAAAAAGCAGCAGCTGGATACCCGCCACTGGCGGGCGTGCCACGGTTGTATACAGGAAGTCGGGAAGATAGGATACATAACTATACATTATGTATACATCTGTACCCAACGACGAACTTAAAGTTTCCCGATTTCCCCAGGTTTTGTGTCGTCCGGTTTTTGCCCGATTATTGGGAAAACTACACGGAAAATTAGAAAACCGTTTTTTTCACTCGCCAATTAGACGCGGATTGTCTTTCAGAAAAGACGCCACTCAGGAAATTCGGACTAAAATTAAAAAAAAAAAAAAAAAAAACACATAATTTTTAAACCAATACATTCGGAGGAATGAAAGAAAGCTACGCTCGAAATCCAAAAATAGAGGACATATACCCCGGATTCGACAACGATAATACGATACGTATATTACGCATAATAAATATATATATATAGGTATATCATAACATTCATCTATTTCGTTTTCCGCGGTTTAAGCCTTTAAGCATAGACCATGTGTATACCGTCCAAACGATTTGTCACCGGTTTTCCCCGTTCAATTATACTTCCATCTAATCCGCGTTTTTGGCTTTGCTTTTCCCAAATCTTCCTTCATCCCACATCTTTACACCTTAGTCTCGGCCTCCCGTATAGTATTTTTTCCCCGTGGTACATTTCCTAGTACCGTTCAAAACAACGGTCCGTCATTGCGTCATGCGCGTCCTGCCCATACGAGTATCTTCGTGGTAATATCATCCACAATATTCGGGCTCTGGTACAAACCCTTTATAGCAATTGCTGTTTTTATTGTGTTCTTCACTTTCCTATTCTTGCGTTTTTACACGGTGTAACGAACTTAAAATTTCAATAATTATCAAAAAAAAAGCCTTTCACCAGTGTCGCAGGAAAAAATAACGTTATTAACTACTAACTACCTTTTCAGTTTACAGGCCCGTGAAATACTACTCCACAAATAAACTCCTCGTTTTTTTATAACGAGAAAAATTCCAAATTTACAAAACACTTAAGCACAAACATTAAAATGTTATTATTAAGTTTTTATTTTTATACTTCACGATTGTATAGTAGAAAATATTGAAGTTGTTTTAATATTAGCGAGTTTTATATTACGGTTTTGATAAAAACTATACAATATTTAACGAAGAAAATATAAAATATGTGAAAATGATAATTTGCCCATTGTAAATTTATAATCCAAATTGTCGAAAACATATTTTAATATTTAATATCACGATAACGAGATAACAACTGTGTTTTGCGATTTTTGCAGAAACTAGAAAGAATAATTATCATAGATTCATTGTTATCGGTCTCTAAATTAATTTTAACTGACGAGTCGTGATTTTATTACTTCGATGACCATATATTTTACACTATCAGCATAAATCATAAAATTATAATATTCTACAGTTGTTTTTTTTTTTTGATTATCATAATACAATTTGTATTAATGCAATTAGTTAATTAATAAATAAATGTAAAAATAACAAATAAAAGACAGCTCAAAAATGTTGCAATTCCGTGCGTCTAACTAACTACGGTTTTACAATTTTAAAAAATTCAGTTCTACGTTTTGGTATAGGCACTAAAAGTGATTTTGATGCCGGTACTGGCGTCCGCTGTCAAAATTCCCATCCGTTAGTTAGAAAATAAAACATTAATTAACGGTGCCGTTGATCAGCTTTGATTCAGCACCAAGTGTTGACACTAAATGTCGGAAAGAAAATTAGTATTTACTTCACAGACCCACCGTAACGCACCGTGGTCCAAATCACGATCATAATGACGTACGGATTACACGATTGCTGAGTGCGGGAGGGTTGGTGAAAAATGTACAAAATCAATGACACGAATTACAAAATTATCGCCAATTTATCTTACCAATCGTTGGAAACGTGTATACTAAAGTTGTGAAATCGCGTTATTGACTGATAAGTCGTAATGCTCGTTTTCGGGCCGAGAAAAAGACAGTTTTAACTCGGCGAATATTTTTCACGCGTTTAAAACCAATCGTAAATAATCGACATAACTCATAAGACGACCGTACGGAATTATAATTAATGTAACCGGCATTATGCGGTTTTCGCAGCTTCGGGATCGTGCACAATTGTTACGCACTTAACGTATTGCTTGACGCGATACGTCCTATACCTCGGGTCAGAAGGCCTACCGACTATACAGCGCTCGGTGCGCACGACACGCCACACCGATGTAAATGGAATACCGCCGTAATCACCGTAATCAGCAAACACGTTCGGTATTTAGCACGGTCGGTTCGGTCGTGATACACAGTGATTTGTTATCATTCACTTAGAACGTTGTTTTATTAAACACTAATTGTTATTAATTACGAACGATTTCAATTGTTATTAATATATGTTAATATAAAATATTGAGACGGTAAGACCAAGCCGCTGGGGAGGCGGCTACCCACGCTGCCTCCCCGTAGATACTTACGTTTGTGCCTATATAAATTACGTATAATTAATATAATTAAATAATATATTTATAAAAAAAAAAAAAATAAGTCACGGGGGCGGATCCATCCCCATTATCTGCCACCGTAGTAAATAAACCATCGATAGGCAGCCATCTATATTTTATCGTCGGACAATCGCATTAAAAAGCCGAAGAGAAAAAAAAAAAAAAAACCACACCGTTTCTATGAAATGGCCGTGGCACGGTATCGACCGTACTCGCGATGCTATTTATTAGATAATTACAGTGCAATCGATAAACGGTTTGTATACATGTATATACCCATATACTATAGAGTCAATAAATTTAAAGATCGGCCTTTTTTAAACGACTGCAGCAGAAATTATAAATAATTGAATAACCGATTAAAAATTAAACGAGCGATACTATACAATACGGTGAATTCAGTGGTTATATAGTTCACTGAATTATTATACTATTGTCGGAGCAGACGCACGGCTAATACGCATAGGAAAAATTAAAATCGAATGACACGAAAATTGTCGAATAGAATTGCGATATTATTGTTATAAAATGCTCGAAGAGACTGTTGAAAAACGGAGTTTCTCGACTTTTTAAATTACGAGTGGGGCGAAGAAGCTTATATGGTTTTACAACGATGGTTTTTTTTTTTTATCTGTGAACTATTCCACCAGAAATATTGCTCCAATTTACAAGTGTAGCACTTTTTCTGAAAAAAAAAATCTCATTGGGATGGCACTTCAAAGAAGTCATTTTTTTGATTTTCTCGGGAGTTTTCTCAATATATTAGAACAACGGAGAAAAACGGAGGAAAAATGGGAGAACGAGACAATAGGTACAATATTAAACAAATATTATTATAGAAAATGCTTAATGCATACGTAATTATTTTACCATAATATGACATATATTATATATTGTTGACAAAGCAACACTATCAACTAAACTCCACTAAGAATCGTTTTTTCGTTAGCAATGGTTTATCGTTGCTTACAGATATACATTAAATTCTCGTCTGTATTCTACCTTCCCAACTTCCCACCTACAATAGTGACTGCATCCACATGCGATGTATGTCCGTCTTTTTAAGTATTTTTTTTAGCATTCCTTTACTATTTGGCAAGTAGGAACAGTATACGTTTCTTGTAGCAAATAGCTATATTTTCAAAAAAAAAACATACATGATTTACTTGGATATATTTACTATTGTAAGTATTTTTTGAAAATAAAACTTTATAATCAGGTGGATTCGGGACTTAAAGTATTTACTTATTTTTCTGACGTGCTATGGAAATTCATTTCATATTACAACTAGTTTAATAATATTTTAGTTTAGTAATATGAAGTTATTTCGATAATTAAAAAAAAAAAACCAATTTTTTTCTTTTTTAAATACTCATTTCAGGGTTATAATGATTTTTATTTTTAACGTTTTTTTATTGATTTTAAGTGGTTTAAGTACCAAAGGGACTAATTTCGTACAATAGATAAACCACTGTTGCAGATGAGAAGTTGATTAAGTAGAGGGGAAATTAATAAATATACCTGTACGTAAAGATTAATCATTGCGAAAAACGATTCTGAGCGGAGTTTGGTTATACATGTTTTGAAATGCCGTAATATTTACGATTTGAAAATAATTTACATTTCATAAATTTTCCCGTTTTTCCTATTTATTATGAAAACCCTTGGGAAAATCAAAATATGACATGTATACTCCAGTCAGATTTCCTTTGAAAAAAAGTACCATACTTGAAAATCAGAGCGAAATTTCTGGCCGAAAAGTTGTTTTTAAAAAATAATAATAAAAATTAATAAACATTGTTGTAGTAAAACCCATACATTCTTCGCTCCTTACAGAACCTAAAAATTAGTAATATTATTGTTCAGTCTTAAACTATTATCATAATTCTGTATCGCACTTTTGTCCTGTGTGATAATAATTTCACAAATTTAACGAATATTTCGGCGTTATCGGTTGTTTTACAAAATTAATAAACACTTATAAAAATAAAACTAATATAGATACCTATATTTATTATAAACATATTAATGGTGCAATATACAACGTATGTAATAAATAAACGTGCAAGCAAAAACGTAGAATTATTGGGTGTTTTTTTTTTTTTTTTCGTAAGTAACAAATTATTGAATATGTGTTTTAAAATTATTGGTGTTAGACGTTGAGAAGGTTCTCTCCCTGGCTGCGCCAGTCCGTCACGTCATTCTCACTCGATCCGCATATTATATTGCTGTACGCTACCGCGTACAATTCGATTTTTTTATTTTCTGTACTGCCCGTCGTATATTGTGTATCGCGTTTATTGTTGTGTCGAAAAATAAATCATAATAATAATAATAATAATAATAATAATATAATATTGTTGTATAATGAGACGGACAGAATATTTGTAACGGACAATCGGGCCGCGTCTGCGGCACAATAATGTAGGTAGGT